GGTAACCTCCATTTCAGATGGAGGACTGATGTCAAATGGCAGTATTTGCACAGTTGAATCCAATGGGGAAAGTCTTGTGTCGATAAACCATTGGCATCGTGTATGTCACTCTTGCATATTATCTGGCGCCTCTAACCGTCGGTTAGGTCGACCTTGAGAAATTGAATTTTATTTATACTTACATTTCACTCACATCTGACAACCAACTGTGCGCCAAACAAATCAAGGTGCGATAGTCTTCATAAAAAATGTTCCATGACATGCATGTGGGCTGAATACATCTAGGTTGCTCACGCCCAGGCAGGTGAATTTTCATCAGGAATCCACAATCGGAGCCTTCGGCTGGCCAAAGCCTGACCTGCTAAGTGGCGGGGAGATGTGTGAAAACCAAAATCCATTAGGGACCGGTGTTCACCTCATCGGATCAGGACGGGGTCAAACGTCCAAGGTACCCAATACACCTCGATGACCAACTAAGCCGGTGACGTCTACCACAACCGGGAAGGTGTGTAGTTCGCACGTCGCCTCTTGGTTGGTTTGTAATCAGGGCTTTTGGCCAACGCCCCTAGGTTAACTAACAGTGGTTCACCAACCCGGTTATAGCACCGATTGTCGGCCTTTCATCCTCTCACTTTGGTGGAAGAACACCTCCCCACGAGAAGACGGTGAGTAGGGCTTCTTCAGCAGAGGCTATTTGAGACGCCTGGTCGTATGGAAGCATTTCGCGAGATGCAAGGGAAAGGTGACCAGTCGCGACCCTAGACATCCACCCCCGAGCATACTGAGGCTTTCGAAGGAAGCTTTGTATCACCACATCCACTGGCTACCGTTCCCATACTTTCATGCCGAGTTCTAATCTGGTAATATTTGAACGAACGGTATACTCTGATTGTTTCGGCAAACAGGGACGCGTTACCGTTGATGTGTGTGTTTGTGATATATACCCAGAGTGAAGCATTCAGACACATAAAGGAAGACTAATTTACGTTGCAACGCTATGTTTAAGATTACAATAACATTGCTAGTAAAGTAATGTGTCGAAAACGAGGGACGGGGTTGCATCTGGATCGGTGAGTACAGGGGTTTGTATTCGCATGAATTTCAATTAACAATCGTGATTAAGGAGTTGGGTGGCATGGCACGTGTGAAACAAAAGAACGACAGTCATGATTTCACTAAGAAACCAACTTCAAACTCATCTAGTCAGAAATATCGACAAGATAACTTACAGCCATATAGGGTTTACAACCGGCCTCGCACGATTTAGCAATACTGTCCACCAACTGACCGGAAATTCCGAAATCGCACAGTTTGACGCGACCCTCTCGATCGATTAGGATATTCGATGGTTTCACGTCTGTGTCACATCAGAGGAAAAGTTGGCACGGGAGAAATTAAAAAGGAACAAAGCAAGCAGTTGTAAGGTTGAACAAAAACCACAAACGAGTAAGAATCCAAAGTCAGTTCCCCAAAGATGTGAAAACAACATGATTGCCTTTATCCTCTGTTGGTTTCATTACCGACTGATTCAATGTCGGTTCAAACCCAGCTTCTATAAAAGTGTTGTTCGCTGCATGCGGATGAACAAGTATCGAAGCACGGCGATAAGAATGACCATTTCGGCAATTAGGTTGGATTGCTCATCTTCTAGTACAAACAATAAGTATTCCGGTTAATATTTCCGGAACAAACATTCGAACAATCAAATCATACCCGGGTGTATCGGTTGTAACATTGAAGGACAATTTGGATACAGCCATTCGAGAATGCTGCAGCTTTGCTATGGTAACGGGCTTTATCTACGACGTCCTCAGAAAACCATCAAGCGGTTAGTATAGGGCAGGCAACTCTGGAATAACACATCAGCGATAACTGTTCTCTAATCATGCTTGAACCAAGCAATAAAGTGACTCCTTCCTTGGATTTCTCGACTCCAGAAACTGTTTGTCCTTTGAAACCGAATGTTCTTTCTGGGAGCTGCTTGCAGTATAAGTTTCATCAGCATTGAAAATATCACAATCGACCTATCCATGGATCAACTGCAGTAATCCCCCTCGAAATTCGTCTACTGCACTACATGGTACAATCAATCTTTCCATGTTTCTTGCTTTGTAGGAATGAATACCACATTCATCTGACCAAGAGTGAAAGTAACCTCCGAAATCCTTGAAATTACCACGATGGATTTGTTTATGCTAGTTCCATCAGCTGGGAAACGNGATGCTCTTTACCATTGAGAACTCATCATGCATTTCTCCCAGCGGCAACTATGACAAGGTCCAATCATGAACTGCCTTGAACTTACTGCTCATTTTTCGGCAGCATCCTTCTTGAGATGCACTGGGGTTCACAAATTATCCGATAATCCTTCGATTGAATATAACACTGAAAACAATTTTCCTTCAAATACCGAGTGATTTCGTCACATCTCTCTGAGTTGCAATTATTTCCTTTAACAGATTCTTCTCTTTGATAGGCAGGCGCTTGCTCATTTTCCTGTCTTAGAAGGCTGGCGTCTTCCTTATAAGGGTTAGTCAATCAGTGAACAACCTCATTTGTGCCTCACATTAGGTGAAACATTATTGACTGAATGCGACATTGCATGTGGGTTGACCAATCGTCAGCCCGTACATCAGTCAGCGACCAAGTGAGCGAGTTCAGGACCTGCGATATTTTATTCGGAAGATGAGAAACACCTACTGTACCTAATAACTCTGTGCTTTTCCCCATATCTCGTGTCCATGTCTTCTGTTGACCTCTACTTGGTTTTCTCCGGTGCAGAGCGACAAATGATACTCGGGTACGCGCAACAAGTGCTCCAACCAGTGAAACCCATCAATGTGAATTCGATGAGCTACTTAATCTATCTTCAATGAACTCGGAAACATAAGATAGTTTATCTCTAGGTTACTAATCCGTTCACTCCATCTCACGTGCGCGAAACTATGCGAGCATCGATCGTCAAGAACTTCTGGTCGCTAAGAGTATTTTACTCTCAAATCCAACATTTCGCAACTACAAAGCAGAACTGAACAAACGGTGGCCAAGTATACCTCAGTTTTCAATTTAAGTGAAACGTCGCGTCTACGCCACAGCAACCAAAATCGGTGCACGTTAGGGCATGGTTACTGGTTGTAGAAACTGAAACTACAAAGATGTTTAGCCATGTGTACTCTGCTGGAGCCTTGAAAATGCATGCGGTTATCTCCTTTGCTGTGATACCGTCGTTGGTCACGCAATTACCCACTCGTTCAACATCACTTTGCATTTCGAAGGAGCAAGGCACATACCGAATAGAGCGACACGACTTGTCAGTTTGTCAAGTGCGCTTAGTGAGTCCTCCATACATTTGCACAGACAAACGTTGTCATCAGCCTAATCTAAATTGCACAGCTTATCTCTGGCTGCATATTCAATACCAACATTTTGGAGATCACTTAGAGCGTTCTCCTGCATTTCGTCTACGATGAAAACAAACAGAAATGGCGAAATAGGACACCCTTCAAGAACGTCGCTTCTGGTTTTGAACGATCTGTCCAAGTCGCTATAGACCCTCACTCGATCAGATGTGAGTACAGTGGCTTCAGTTAGTTAACAAAATTCTGGGACATTCCTTTCAGGAGAAGCGAAAGCACTAGAGCTTCGCGGTCAATTTTTCTAAAGGCTCCTTTTAGGTAAAAGAACACGGAGATCATTAGTCGAAAGTGGCTGTAACGCTGTTTGAGGACCTGGCGCAACGGAAAGTTCAACCCGCTACTAGACCGGAATTCGGCTTGTTGGTCACGGAAACCGATCCACTTTAAAAGAGTCGGACGCCGAAGGATGAGCAGGCTAAGATTTTGGTGACGATCAGGATCAAACTTATCCCGCGGTGGTTTGTGCAGTCGTTGCGAAATCCGTTCTTGAAAATAGAAACGATTCGCCCGTAGATAATAGAATACACTCCTGTGACCAGCTGTTGTGCAGTAACTTAGTAATACAGCTTATGAGGTTATCAACCCCATACCTGGTAGAACAGAACTCAGAGAATCTGCCAGGCCGAGCATGAATCCGCGTCACGAAACCAGCACACCCATATCGCTCTCGGATTGGATAACTGTATACCGAATCAGACAATCGTTGTCTGATCGATCAATCGGAATGTCAAGGATTTAATCTGATTGGTGTGTCACTGTACCGTTCTCATATGCCTGATTTACTCTATTTATTGGCGTACCGACCCTTAAACATCGAATACAGTTAGCTGTCTCGAATCCTGTTCTCTTTCTGCATTCTTGGGGGTTCAGCAGGAGACATGTGTCAATCGCTCGTCTAGGACAAACACAAAAAAATTACCTGGAAAAAACTGGGAAAAAGAGCGTCTGGCTCTGCTGCTTTTAGTCTCTCTAAAGCTTGAACACAAGACCGGACTTATAATTCTGTCGGAGAGTCGAAAGGCACTGTCCATGGAACATCACTTGCAACAAATGAAATAACCTGGCTAGAATAGACAGAACGACAAGCAGTCGGTTCTGATATGCGCTCCCGAAAACTACTTTTCTCACGCATCGTACATGAAGGATTCCACAGGAAACTCAAATAATTCGGTCAACAAATGATGTAAGCTTATCTAATGGCCACATCGGACGAGCATCCAGCGGAAAAACGTGGTTCGCGTAGTGAAATTGTGATCGGCGGTTGATGTACTACCAACAAGACGAACTGGCGAGATCTCTGAAACACATCTGTAAATGTAGTGGCATCGTCAGGGATAAAGTCGTGAATTCCATCATAGGCAGACACTTACATGTATGTGAAAATTTTACTACCAAAATACTCTCAGACACTCACCGCCCACTATACAACGAGCTTTTGAAAGCTGTATCTAAATCATTCACACGCTCAAGCTTTACACTTTTATTTGCACGTACCTCTTCTTATCGTAATTCTGCTTTGCCATATCTAGTACGCCTACTTATTGACAAGGAGAAAATTTCCACAGAATTGCACAATTTCTTGCTTCATTAACAAACAGAATCTACTGTTTTCCATTTCATTATGTATGCTTTCGTAAATTTGAATCCATAAATATGGTGTATATGCTGAAAATTCACCCACCTGGGTGTATAAAGCTACTACTGACTTGACTTGACTGGAGAGGGAGACAGAACTAAGAGCTGTGTTAATACAAAATACGACCCTTTAGGGTGGACATAACATCCCTTAAACTCGTTTCGAATAAGCCACTCTGATTAAAAACACCTCATAATGGTAATTTTTAGCCCAGCTAATCGAATTTTTCGGCATTAGGTCAAAAATTAAATCCATAAACGTTATGATGACTGTGTTGTGCGAACAGTGACGCGTGTGCAACTTCTTAATTTATGCACTGTTCAGAGGTCCCACTTGTCCCGGTTCGACCCTTGTTCAGCTTTGGTTTACTTGTTCAGTTTCGAGGTCAATGAAACCAGAGTAAAAACAAACGGAAATTAAATAACGATTTTTTTTAACTCAGAACAGGGTAGAATAAACAAAATGCACTTACCTCGATGAATTACTTGCAATTCGGTTTTCAAATAATCCAAGGCCGAAATAACCTGAAAAGGGTAAAGAGGAATAGAGAAAAAAGACGCGTTAGTGCACGCAAACTACTCTCATAAAGATCATACTGAGTGAACAGTTGGTCACGTCAGATTCACATCATTTGGTATGTCGCCAAAATAGATCTTGTTGACTCTTAGTGGTTCGCAAGCACTCCAGTGTATGTTACGGGTCAGGCAAATGTCTCTTTGCAAAAGCCAATCAACTAATGAAATCCCTAAAGGCTGTCTCTCATCCCAATGTCCGCTCTCGACTCAAAATTCTATACCCATCCCCGCATTCATACCTTGCACGCGGCGTGACTCCTCATTTAGTGCACATTTTGATCGAACACAACTCGATTGCTGCTAACCTTTCATCTCGCCTTTTAGATTAATTTCATTATTTCTTTTTCACCGTTTTTCTTACACACTGTTTCCTCTCTCTCTCCACTGCAATTTGTGATTAATCGGGGTGCCTAAAGCATTTATTGTCTTTAGTTGGGACGAAATATCGAAACAATAAGAAACAACCACCAGAATCTGGGCGAACGAAGGTGGAATCTAGTAGACGAATTAGCGATGAAGTGAAACCATAGATAAGAAAATCCCCGTTCGAGGTGTTTGACAATAAAGTCATCTTGTTGTTTGGCAGATATGCCAAACAACAATTTGAACAATTAACCTTGCCTTAGAAGTTCATTCGGTGGAGTCCGGTGAATTCGAAGGAAAGCCGGTCGGGGCAGTCAGCTTACACGCTAACTGGTGGATGCCACATGCCTCTGTAATTTGGATGGGTAAATTTGAATGTGAAAAGATCAGTGCTATCGGTGTGGCCACGTAGCTCAGCTGGTAGAGCATGCGCGTACAAAGCGTAAGCGGCGTCCATGCGTGGGTTCGAATCCCACTGAGGCTACTGGACTTTTCACAATGGACATACAATAAAGTTATCGCCGCAAGATCCAGCTGACTATGAACCATTCAGTGAACTTCACAGCAGTTCGCTCAGTTTTACTGCACAGGAGTGTTAGTCAAAAGTATTCGACAACCGAAGACTGTCAGTGTTGTAATAACCGGACATCATCATCATTATCGTACAGTGAAGTGAACTTCACCATGTACTCAAATCAAGTGATAAAGCACAAGATGCAGAGGGATTGAGGCTAATCGGAGAGAGGCAAAGAAAAAGAACCTCTATGTTCAACACACAGAGTACACAATCGAACTCTACATACACATCTTTTCAAGTATTCTGACCTGGTAAGAACGCCAATGCTGTTAGTTAGTCGCCATATCCTTCAGTGTCTCCAACCAGCCAGTTGCAGTTTTTCGGATCCCAAGCCGGGAGAAACCTATTCTACCTAATCGCTCTGTGCATTCATTTATGCGGCGTTTCCACGTCCTCTGTTCACGCGGTTTCTTACAACCTGGGGCGGCGAATAAGGCGCGGTGCGGCAAACTATGGTTGGGCATGCGCAATAGGTGTCTTGACCAGCGAAGCCGGCTAATCTGAATACGATGAGACAAAGAAGTCTCCATCGAATTATAACCAAGAACCAGACGCCGTACCTCGGAGTTGCTTACACACTCGCCTCATTTAACTGGGGCAAACTACGTAAAAATCGGCAGTCGAAGACTTCTAGACGACGAAAATTTTCCACGAGCAAATTCAGGGTTTCGCAACCACAGAGCAGAACTGACCGCACACTGATGCAATATACACGACCTGTCAGTTTCAACGAAACATCGCGTTTGCACCAAAGGTGTTTTAAGCCTACGTAAGCTGCTCGAGCCTTGGAAATGCGGGTGGTTACTTTATTGTCTATGCTACCATCATTTGCAAGGCAACTACCTAAGTAACTGAAGCATTCCACTACAGCTAATTCTTGACCATCAAGCAACAGCGCTAGGGTAGCCGACACTCAGTCTTGTGGCATCAGTTTTCATTGTGAAGGTGGAAAGCGCATGCCGAAAGGAGTTACAGAACTTGAAAGTCTGTCAAGGGCGCTTTGCGCATCCTCCACACATTCTAACAGGCAAGCGATATCGTCAGTGGACTCTAAATCACACAGCTTTTTTCCCGCTGCCCATTCAATAACGACATTTTGGAGACCACTAAGTGCGCTCAACAGTATTTCATCTACGACGAACATAATTTTCGGACGGAGAGGTAGAAAGTTAAGCAAAGAGTTATTGGAATGCAGGATCCTAATGCTTGACCGTATTCGAAAGTGGTAGTGGTATACATGTACTAATCATTACCAACAGCTTATACCTTGATGTGGTGTGATGGCTTATGTACTAAACAGAGCCTATGAGATACACACGATGGACGCTATAAGCCATCCTTATTATGTCAAAAACGTTTGACGGTAGAGAGCAGATAAAGTCTCGATTTTTAGCTCGAGTTCATAAGTTAGTGGGAAAAAATGTACAACTAATTTAGGCAAACAAACCTCAGATCAGTCGTGGCAACTGTCATGTGATTGTTATCCAGATAGAACGGATCGCTTTGATCCAAGATGCCAATCGTACTCCGACTTAAATGTGAAACAACGGTCAAGTTCTTACTCATCAAGGTTTAGTGAACGCAAAACCGAAGTGAATTCCAATCTGCATCGGTTGTCGTGCACGATAAGCAGAGTTTCTGTGTATCTTACCGTGAATGCGCTGGACAGATGAGTCTACGACGACCACGAAATCCTGAATTTTACTCATCAGGTGGTTTATAACATTCATTCTATCAACCTGTTCATCATCTAAGGCATTGTTTACGAGGTGTAAATTGTACCAAGGTGAAAAAAATCGTGAATTCCGAAACCTCACCAACCTTACAAGATGGGAGTTCCCAATGTGCGAACTAGTTTGTCAAAAACGCCTGCTATGCTTAAGAGGAACTACCTAGTGATGAACCACTGCTGTTTATCTGAGATGCAACTCCTGAGCTGGCAACGGGTGCTCTAGGTTAGCCAGGAAAATGAATACAGGATCGCATGTCAGGGGGACTGCAGGTCTAGGTGAATGTGTCCCTTTGATGGATTTGAGTATTTGAGAAACATACATGTACATATATATATATATATATATATATATAACGATGAAACATCTCCTAATGGTTACGAGCTGTCAGCATAAAACATACTCAAATCCAACTGACACGTAACCATCATGCCAACACGAAGGGTACCGCTTACTTACAGCGGTGGCAATCTTCCCCAGAACCGCTTCTGGAATGCGCGAACGAATGTTACGGTACACAAACTTATAGAATTTGTCCAACGATGTGGCCATCATTTCCATACAGATCCAACAATCACCTTCTTGGAACAGGGCACCGTAAAACCGTACAATGTGTGCACAATTCGCGGAATTCACAACCACGTCCAAATCTTTCAATGTTTGTGTCTGTTCGGATTCATTTAGCGTGGATCGTATTCGCTGTGCGATAAGAAGAAACGAAAGACATGATGTTTAAGAGATCAGAGTGAAATCGAACCTTACCTTCACGGCCATGACAACTCCAGTTGGCGTATGAACCATACGATTCACGAATCCGAAAGCGCCCCGGCCAATTTCGCCTTCATCCAACAAATCAGCCGCAGTGAACAATAGATCTTGACACACACCGGGTACCGTGAGCTTTCCGTTGTAAGAATAATGTTTGAGATTGCTGAAGGGAGCACAGATCAGTCAAGTCTTTCAAATAACTTTTAGCCTACCATGTGGGGGGCTCCGTGCGTGGTTGAATATTTGACAGCGGTAACCGGAGTTGGGGTCTTGAAGCCATTTCTGTATCTCTGAGTAGCTAAGCCATAAACTCTTTGTAGATAAACCGTTAGTAAGTAAGAACTACAAGAGAGAGCAAAAATCAATGTTTTTGATTTGTGCCGTAACTCAGTATAGCATTTGGAAATTCACTGTGGATCCTTCAACTGGTGGTATACATAAGTATTGTTGTGATTGCATACATTTTTATGGTGAACAGTAAATACCATAATCGTGAGGAGCTGCTGTTTAGTGACGGAAACCGGCAACCCATGTCCCGGGACTTAGGGTGGCGAACCACATAAGGCCCTGCTAGGTCAGGTGCGATATTGAACTGGACGAAAACAAAGCTGCATACCACCAAAGCCGGGTGGCGGTGGCGAGGTTCGAACCTCGGACCATGATGGAAATGAAGTTTGAACAAAGTATGTCGAATAAGACAGTACAAATATACTGAGTTAGTCATCATCACAGAGGGCATAATTAGAATGCACTAAAATGTACATCTCCAAATAGTCAAACGTTTTGAAAAATTCACATTTAACTAAAGATTACTCGTGAGTAGTTGTGTGGATGAACAATACTGATTCGAGCTAACCACGTTTCTGACTCCATCTTCACGCAAAGTCCTCACTTCTGTCATTCAAAGGTACACTCGGGAAGCATCAAACACAAGGTTCCTTCTCATTAGAACTCACCAGTAGTGCATATCAACAGTCCCGTCTGATCTCTAAACTCCAGACCCGTCGCATGGAGGGTACGCGTTATCATTGTACCAACCAACTCACACGGAGCTAACCAAATTTTCAATTTATGTTTGTTTATGTTTGAAAAGCGTGAACCGGTAACCACAGACAACTTAATGAGAAGTCCTTGGTATTCCGTTTTATGTATGTTATCCTTCGAGACGATCTACTCGTATATTAATCGAGGAACCGTTACCTCCATCCTGAAAACTTCGATACTGATTTGAACGCTCCCGACGCTTCGAAACAGTAGACCTATTGGCTTTGAACGTTCAAAGCCTTCTTGAAACGCGTCCAGGCTGAAGATCCAGACAAGCTAGATATATTGATTAAATTCTTATCGCCGACTGTCTATGAACACGTATCACATTGTAAGAGCTTCGACGACGACATATCTCTACTTCAATATTTGTACGTATGTCCTAGGAATGTAATTTTCACTCGACGCCTTGCGACCAGTAAACAAGATTGTGGCCAGAACGTCAATCAGTTCGTCCAAAAGATCAAAACACTCTCGAAAGACTGCGACTTTCGTCCTGTATCTGCCGAAGAATACCGTGATGACGCTATGCGTGATGCTTTTATTACCGGATTACTGTCCAATAACATTCGAACGCGACTTTTAGATCAGGTGTCTCTCAACTTTCAAACCGCATACGACATGCCGGGATTGTTAGAATCTGCTCAACAGCAGCCTCAGTCATATGGCTCCGAAAATCCTCCTTGCGCATCATCTGCTTCGACGTTGTCGCCTGCACCTCCTGTTCCTACTGTGACGGTTGAATCCGAGCCGGTTCTATCCGCTGTGTCCAAAGAAACGTGCTACTTTTGTGGCTACTCGAAGCATCCACGAACAAAGTATCCTGCCAGAGAAGCTACTTGCAAAGCGTGTGGGAAAACGGGATATTTTTAACGTGTTTGCCAATCGAGCTGCTACTTCGACCGTTGGACCCCTTCTATCTTCCGTTTTAACGGCCTCTGTCCCCACCTGCTTATCGCGTGCTACAACTAAGATTTGTGTCAATGACACTGAGTTGCATGGCTTAGTCGACACTGGCAGTTCTAATAGTTACATCTCCCAGACAGCTGTCAACTCCCACAGGTTAGAGATCCAACGATGCGACTCTCGAATTACCATGGTATCCACATCCCTGACCGATTACTTTAGGGTGACAATTCGTTACTGTGGGGCTCAATACAATAAAGTTACACTTTCTGTAATGCGTAAACTGTGCGCTGATACCCTTCTTCGTCACAACTTTCTCGGTCTACACGAAAAGGTGGAAATACCATTCGGTGGTGATCGTGGTACTTTCATGTTGTGTGGACTCGCTGCTGCTAAAATTCAGTCATCACTCCAAATTGTAAACCCATCGCTACCAAGTTTCGAAGATATTCTACGGAGAACGAGCGTTCCATTCTAGCAGAAATACAGAGCCTCATGGCGGACGGTATCATTGAGCCACCTAATTCCCCCTGGAAAGCCCAAGTCCGTGTGGCCAGAAATTTTAATCATAAGAAGATGATGGTCGTGGATTACAGTCACATGATCAACCGCTTCACCCAGCTAGATGCCTATCCGCTGCCCAGAATTGACAAAATGGTTGAACGAATTTCCCGCTACGCTGTATAAAGTACGCTTGATCTAAAAAATGCAAATCATCAGATTCCAATCGCACATCACGAGAGACCATATACCGCCTTTGAAGCAAGCGACCGGCTATTCCAGCTCTGCCGAATACCCTTCTGTGTTATCAATGTCGT